CCCCAAAACCCCAAAACCCCAAAACCCCAGCATATTCAAAGATATTGGATTATAGTTATGCCTAAATGATTACCTTAGCAGACCCAAATCCATTTTCTTCAAGTAGGCTTCTAGCCATGGTTTCATTAGGCAAGCATCTTCTTAAGTCTACTTCTTGAAGGCTGAGCTTTAAGTCTGGTGAGGTTGATAATCCTTGGATCAAATTGGTCAACTCTTGAGGGTCTTCTACCCAATTGCTAGCATTGGGGAGGCCAGACCAGCACAATTTGAACTTTTGGATGCTTGTGTTGTTTAATGCTTTTGCGAAATCAGGGATTTCAGGAATAGAAAGTTTACACAAAAGTATGCATAGTGTCTCAACATGTCTAAATGATGTAATGAACTTCTTTAGATTTCGAAAGTTTATTCAAAATCATTCGAGACACATTTTATTTAATACCCTAAAATTTAGTCTGATAATGGGATCTAAATATCAGGTGGGGAGGTTGATTGGATCTCTAAAAGAGTTATTAAAATAAAATGAATTGACTCTCTCTGGAAGTGATAACAATAGTGACAAGACCGCATTCTTTCTGGCTGTTTTGAAATAATTCAAACTCAATTCATGAAAAATAACGCAAGAGAACAAAGGTCTCTTTTTGCTCAATTTGATACATTTTTGGTCTTCTAAGTAAAGGTTCATATGAATTATATCTCAAGATGTTATTGAAGCAATACAAGAATCTGAATCTAACCAAGCAATTTTGGGATACCAAGAATATATGTTTTGATAGGCAGATGGTAATACTTCTCTGCCAATAGCTTTCTCCTCTGTTTTTATGGACTTTTCAAAGCTATATTGTTATAATTAGTGGAGGGCCGTCACTAAATAAATGATTGGTTTACAATAACTTCCATAATGCTAGGAATTAGTCTGATGAGTTTGTCCAATTTCGATATCATAAAAGCAAGACTTTAACTACAATATAATTTTAAAGAGGAAGAAAAGTATTTACGTTATTCAATGAAAAAGGCATGATTGTATAACTCCAAGTGAGTTTCTTGTTTATTCAACCCCTTCAAGAATGCTTACCTTGCTTTCTGTTCGAGTACATCTTCTATTTGCTGGATGGAGGATTCCATGATGATATACTAATTATATTCCTATCTTTTGCCTTAATTAATATCTAAAAGTTATTTAAATAAATCAAACTTTCTATCGGAGATCCTTTATCACTGGCTCAATGATTACTCTGACTTTTCTCGGGTGGAACAAAAACCCTAAATTGTAAATTCATGCTGACTAATGTATATTTGCTTGATTTAGGGAAGTTTCACAAAATTTAAATGCTCATAACTTTGAGCTAAATTGATTTTAAACTAAAATTTTAGTGAACAAATATATTTGCCAAAGAGTAAATATCTTCCCAGAAAATAGAAAACTCTTGAATAATGTCAAGAGGTTGTGTGTGACTGGAAAGACATTGAGGAACTTAGATCTTGAAATAAGTAAAGAGTCTCAAGTAAGTAGATTGAAAGGATTAGAAAGCTAAATGTATTCAAAACAACTATTAGTAGTTTTAAATCAATTAGTGATTGTACTCAATTTGTGATAAAAGTGAGAAAACTAGGAATAGTCAATCTTTGACACAAGATCTCCTTCTCTTAATATCTAGGAAAATGAGGCTACATGGATATATGAGGAAGAGGAGATCAATATTAAGCTTCTAAGAGATATTAGAACATCTAAAGGGAAGATTATCTACAGCTTGACCCTATCATGAGGACTCAATCATAAGCCATCTCCACTTTTGATATTCTAGTCTCTCTTAAAATCCAAATATTAGTCAATTCTTCCTCATAGACCCAGGTAGTCCCATCCCCTAGATATTAAAAGAAGGAGTCGTTGTGACAAAGATTGGCCTGTTCCTAGCTTTCCTTACTTTTATCACAAATTGAGTAGAATCACTAATCCATTCGATATTACTTCAAATTATAAAATAAGCTAATTCGGTATACCACAATAGGAAGTTCCAGTTAAGACCCTGATGCCTATAATGAGCCATTGGCCTTCGCCTAATAGTAAATTTATAGTCAGAATTTGATCGTGATTCGTTGGAATTTGAGACTTGGCTGCACCAAAGTTGGAATTAGGAAATAAAAATAGAGGAAGGTAAAGATTTAGAGCAACTAAGTTAAGTCACAGGTATATTCAAGCCTGGTCTTGGTGAAATTTCATGCAGAGAGGATTTTTTGAACAGCTTCTTGAGTAACTCCACAATAGAAAAGAGATATCTTTTGGGTATTGGTTCTGAAATCTGATGAAGTTGCGAGTCCTTGAATTAATTTGACAAACTCTTTAGGATGATCTCAAGAATCTATCCCGCCATCAACCCACATGCAACTTAGTGTAAAATCTTAGATTCTTGAGTTTTTGAGTCATCAATTAAGGTTAGGAGGATAAGGCAGATAGAGCATATTATTATCAAGTCAAAGTATCTCCACATGTTTATATGCAACTAATAATCTCTTCAGTTTGGGGATATTGAGAATAAAATTACTGAAATTTACTTGCTTCAAAACTTTCGGACCTACTCTGATTATTTGATCGAAATAATAAAGAGTTGTAGTTTTTCATTTATCCCAAATAGAAAATTTAAATTTGTCTCCTCTTTTAGGAAACGAATGTTTTATAAATTCATAAACTCCCTTGTTTTTAGGAACTCTGATCAAGTAAAAGATTTCTGTATTAAAGAAAGTATATGGTCCGAGAGTTTCTATAAATTTAGAGTAAAACATCGTATTCACGAGCCCCATGAAAAGCTTAACCATCAGAACTTCTGAGTCAGAATCTGACTGGAGAGATGGTTTAGTAGGAATAAGGTAACTCCCAAGAATATTGTAATAATGATTTCAAATGAGCGAATAGTCTGTTTTCTGAGATTGTTCCTTTTTTTAATCCTCTATACTATAGCTTTATGAGTATCTGCAATCCCTTTGATCCAACAGAAAAACTTCAGAATTTATAATCAGGGATTTCATACAATTAAAATTAAAATTTTAGATTAAACTACTCATCATAAGGCTCACTACACTCTCAATCTGTTCTTGTAGGTTACTACAAAACTCTTCATACTTTCCCTGCAAGAAATAGCAGCCAGATGTATTCAGAAGAAGGAAGTCCAAAGGCTTCGAAGCTCCCAGGACTTATATCTACACCCTGAGGGTTTAAATTGGTCGCAACAGCAGGGAATCATTTGTGGGTGTTAAATATTACTCAGTTTCCTGAACCGACTTGACCTCTGCTGGCTATCTTACCTCAGCTTTGCCTCCTTTCCAAGAGTTATATCTGAAGGTAGGCTGTCCATTTATTATAAATATATTTCTATTTTAGCTTTCCGTACAGGGGTTTTGGGGTTTTGGGGTTTTGGGG